TCCAGAGCGCTCAGGGACGCGCAGAGAGGGGTGGCGGCCGACCGAGCTGCGCTCCCGACGCGATGCCGCACGTTATTTGTTTCGTGACCTTGACCATGTCCCAGCCTTAACCTCCTCAAAGTTACAACTGGGATAATAATCCTTGCGGGGCTCGCTCGCTGGGTGGTGGGGGTAATATAGTCCGGTGGGGAGGGAGGGGGATTGTCAGAGAGACTGTCAACTATCCCGCTGTGTGCCTGTTTTCAGCCCGCCCAGAATTTTGAAGTAATTCAGGCCCTGGCCTGCGACCTCCTCCAGGGAGGGGCTCGTGGGCGTTTAGGCTCCGCGGAGCCCGCCATACTTCGGGCCGGTGGGCGCAGCCGGAGCGCCGGGTGGGGGCACGGGGCGCCCTTGGCAGCGTCGGCCGCACTGCCCTATCCCGGCCCGAGGCCGAGAAGCCTCGCCCGGCACGTCCGGCAGGCTCAGGCTCGGCCCCGGCCCCACGCCCTGTACTCGGCTCCGAGCTGACCCCCCCCCCCCCCCCCCCCCCCCCCCCGGTCCCGGCCCCCGGCCGCCCCCCCCCCCCCGCCCCACCTCGTCGCCGCGGGCAGCAGCCGTGGACTCCGCAGCCCCCGGCGGAAGCTTGAGCTGGGCGCCGGCCCACGCAACTTAGGCTGAAAGGGAAGTCGTGTAGGTTGTCCTGATCTGCGGGCGCAATGAAGGCGACCCCGAGTCGCGCAGGAGAACCAGCCTCAGAGAAGGCATTGGCTTCTGACTCCGTCAAACCTACGCGGGGAGGCTCTAAAGGAAGAAGTCTCCCAACCCTTCACAAAAATATAAAACCATCTGGAAAAGGAAGCATCTACTGGATGGAAGGAGACAATTGCAAAAGAAAGGTAATTAGAAGGAGGAACCTGAAAGGAAGAGTAACACACGTTTTCTTTGCACTCGAGTGCAGGTAAACCCGAGTTTTAATTATATAAGGCAACCCTCAAACAGAAGACTTAAATCTCCCCAAGCCCTGGGGCAGCCAGCAGAGATTTCTCAGTCAGCTTCCCACGACCTGTTACCATTACCATCGCCCCAGATATGGGTTAGGAATGCACTTCTCCCCCATTGCCATTGCCATTTAAAAGCCCAGAGCACACCACCTAATAACTTTCTTGACTTCTCTCATTAATGAGGTTCTCTTTTGTTTTGTTATTGTTGTTTGGAAAGGCATATTTCACAAGTTTTTAAGTAGGTCAGCTGTTTCAAACTGCCCCATCTTCGGTCATAGCAGACCAAAAAATAATGCAACATAACCTGTGTATGGGGTAGTGATCTAAGATGGTTATGGGCTCTCAGTTGCATAGTTATTTCTAAGAAGACTCCGTTTAAAAAAAAAAGAAAAACATTTTGGGGCAGTTACAGTTACATTAGTACATATTGTGGATATAAGCTTGCAGTTAGAGAAAAATTATTAGAAACAGCTGTGACGTTAATGTTTCGAAACCCAGAGTACTCAGTATGCTCAGTATCTACTTTTCATCATATTTTTTTCTTGTGCGTCCACATAATGCACTACTCTCTGTGTATAATACAAGACACTTGTTTAATAAAGCAAGTGATTGTCTGTGTCAGGGAGATTTGGTCCTCTCTCCCTCTCCCAGTCCATATGCAGAGCAGATCAAAGACCTGAATTACCTCTGTCTTTCCAAAGACAGCCAGATGGTGTCTTGATTTTTTTTCTTTTTTTTCAGATTTGCTAGCAATAGAATTCAAAGGACTAAAGAATCTGTGTGATGCTACAGATGAAAGTTCTATCCAGGTAAGTTATGTTTCAATTAATATCATGCATACCTTATTCCACTAAAGTTTTGAGGAGTCTCATGAGAATCCATATAAGAAATAAATACAAAAATGATGAATAAGTGATTACAACAAGTTAAAATAGAAATAGCAATCTTGGGTCAAGATGAGAAGAAAATAAGAACGCTGATATGTATGTGGAGTACTAGACAGTTATTAAAGAGGAACTTTAAATTTGTCTCTGAGCCTCCTAGGAGAAAAAGTGAAACATGATTCCCACTGAGCACAAAAAGAAAGCAAAGAAGTTCCTTACAGTATGCAAGGTATTCCCTAAGGTGGTGGTGGTGGCAATAACAATGATACTCAAATGCTCCATTTGTGACCAACTGCTCCCCTCCTCCACAAGCCCCCACACACTCGGATACTCTTCTGGGATATTTTTATTTTGTTACAGTTAAAATAAAGCTCTTTCTCTACATAGAGGCAGTTTGGTTTCTGGAAGGAACTTTGGAATCAGAAAGACCTGAATTCAATGCTGGCTTCTGCACTTAGGATTCTGCTGTAACCCTTGGCAAGGCACTTAATCTCTCTCTCTGAGAGCCAGTTTTCTTTATAAAACGGGGACAGTCTATCCCATAGGCTTATAGAGAGGGTATTCCAGAGCCTGGCACTAAGGGACTTTTTTTTGTAAGTGTTAGGTTATTACTGCTGTTTTTTATTGTCATAAACATAACACAAATGTTAGTTTCCTTTCTCCTTTTCCACAGCAATATAGTATTCTACTATATTTTGGGTACTACTACTTTGGGGCTTCAGAGCAAATAAGAATACCAAAGTTTGGACTTGAAAATCTGTTAGTCGAGTTAAATGAACAAGGTCTCTGAGTTCCCTTACTCTCCTTACTTGCCCATAGTGGTTAAGTTTCTGGAAAGAGAAGGGGATGTTGGTAAGATAGGCATTGCCCTACAGCAGCAAGGGTAGGAGTGGCTCAGTCCCTGAGGCTGCAGGTCGTCTTGTGGATTCTGGACAACAGTCCCACTCCTAATCACCAGTGAATGGCAGTTGTCAGGTTCACTTCATATTGGGATAAGTCACTGCATGAATGAGTTCCAAGAGGAGGTAGACAGATCTCTGAGTATTATGTTGGAGGGGGATGGGAGCAAGAAGGTTTTACAGGTCACTACAGAAAGTCAGTATTCCATTAAATATAGGGGGTTGGGACCAGGAGCAAAATACCAAGTGACACTCCCCTTTCCCCCATCCTCCCTCACTCTGTCTCTTACTGTGTAGACCTTTTAAACTGAGTACTTGCTGAGAACCCAGCACTGGTTCTAGGTTTTATGGAGACAAGTTCTCTGTCCTGGATCTACCACCTAAGATTATCCAGACCACTGGCCTCTGAGATCTTCTCTTTTTGTCCCTTTTCCCTCTTTCATCTGCTCAATACCCACTAAACTGTCACCCTTCTCCTCCTGCTAAATCTTGCAGGTTGATAATGGGTTAAATATATCAGTCTAGTGTATCTAACATATCCTCTATGTTTTCTGAGGTTAGTTGTATCTTAGAAGAGTATGGAAATGCACATGTATGCCTTTGACCTGCTCTGCGAGATCGGTAAGCTTCCCAAGCTCATGAACTTCCTCATGTTGATGCATTGATTGGCTGAATCTAGAACAGCAGGTAATTTGTTTCAGGCAGCCCCTTGACTAAGCTGCCAAGAAGCAGCATAGCATAGCAGGGTGGGCAAAGACTTGGATTCGGAAGAAAGGGGCTCGAGGCTTTGTTGGCTCCATCACTGGCTCCATGAACTTGTGTCATCATCTAACAGCCTTAGCTTCCACCTGAAGTATATAGATGATGTATGCCGCATACACCGATACTTTATGATCCTGAATCCAACTGAGAGTAATCTCTTCTTCCTCTGAATTAGCCCTCACGGCATTTTGTTTCTTCATCTTTTGGGCACATAACACATTCTTCCTTACATTAAACTTACTGGAAACTATTTCTTATCTCCTCTGTCATACCATAAGCCGGCCCCACGGGTGCAGGAACAATGTCTACATTAGAGTTTCCAAAAGAGCTATTCCAGTGTTTTGCACCACTGTACTCAATAAATATTTTTGAGTGAATAAAATCTTACCCTTTATTCATAACATCCGCTAGCTTGAGGTAAAAGAGGAAGGCTAAACTTCTGGAGGGCTGGTGCACAAGTCCTGCTGTCTTATCTCCATGTCAGCCCGGGTGCACAGTTAAGCCTGTGTTTCTCGTTTGTGGGGTACAGGCCAAATGATCTACAACAAATATCCAGCCCCTTTCCTTAGCAGATGCACAGAATGTGACAGAAGGAAAACAGGCTTTATGATGACAAAAGAGAGAGGCATATGAGGAAGAATTTTTTTCCCCTCGTGAGTGTAGATAGTAGGTATGAGCAATGTGGTAGGCAGCCGGCAATGGGGTCTACCCATCCCATGAAGGGGGACCAGCAAGGCCTGCCTATTCCTGTGGCATGATTTTCTTGTTCATGTTTGCCAACTCCCTGAAGCTCTCCCAGGGAAAGGGAGGTGGAACGGAGGAGTGAGAAGATAGCCACATTCTGTTAAAATGTGTGCATCTGGATTCCTCTTCTGGCTTTAATGGATTCTAGAATATGGCTATATGCAGAACCAGTAAACTGTCTTCTAGAACAGTCCTGGTAGGAGAAGGATACAGTAAATTCTCACAATTTCCTTGCTTCTTGCACTGTTTGGATCACTGGGCCTGCAGCCCTGCCCCTTCCTCAGTCCTCAACGCTTACCTTAAACCGGAGCTCCTCCAAGCCTCCCTTCATGCCGTGGCCCTCCCAGAGCCTCAGCCTGCCCCAGCTGGCTCAACATTGCTGCTCTTCTGCCTTGGAAGACTGGTGCTTCTGGAGCTTCTGCTGCCATTGCTCACACTGCCCCCAAGTTACTGAAACGCTCTTCATGGTCATCCCAACTTCTCATCGCCAGGCCTGGGTACACCCTTGGGTTTTGCACGCTGGAGGCCCTGCTGAAGCTTGCCTACTTACCTGTATTGAATTGAGCTGTGGTGGTCCAGATTACTTGCCTTTTCCTCCTGCTGTGGATTCTCCTTCTTCCTTTCCCAGCCCCACCCACACACAGCAGTGGAAGTCCCTTTTCGTGAGTTAGTGCACTCTGGCTATTCCTTCCAAAGGCCCCCTCCTTGCTTCTTCTCCAAGAGAACACCAAATGGCGGATGACGCCGGTGCTGCAGGAGGCTGGGGGCCCTGGGGGCCCTGGAGGCCCTGGAGGCCCTGGAATGGGAGACCGCGGCGGCTTCGGCAGTGGCATTCTGGGCCATTGTGGCGGCCGTGGTGGGGGCCGGGGTCAAGGCCGCGGAGCTTGCGGATGCAATGCCGAGGACAAGGAGTGGATCCCCGTCACCAAGCTGGGCCGCCTGGTAAAGGACATGAAAATCAAGTCCCTGGAAGAGATCTATCTCTTCTCTCTGCCTATCAAGGAATCTGAGATCATTGATTTCTTATCCCTCAAGGACGAGGTTCTGAAGATCATGCCTGTGCAAAAGCAGACCCGTGCTGGCCAGCGGACCAGGTTCAAGGCGTTTGTTGCCATCGGAGATTACAACGGACACGTCGGCCTGGGTGTCAAGTGCTCCAAGGAGGTCGCCGCTGCCATCCGTGGGGCCATCATCCTGGCCAAGCTTTCCATCGTCCCCGTGAGGCGAGGCTACTGGGGGAACAAGATCGGCAAGCCCCACACCGTCCCATGCAAGGTGCCTGGCCCCTGTGGCTCTGTGCTGGTGCATGTCATCCCCGCCCTCAGAAGCACTGGCATTGTTTCAGCCCCTTTGCCCAAGAAGCTACTGATGATGGCTGGTATCAACGACTGTCACACCTTGGCCAGAGGCTGCACTGCCACCCTGGGGAACTTCGCTAAGGCTACTTTTGCTGCCATCTCCAAGATCTACAGCTATCGCACCCCTGACCTCTGGGAGGAGACGGTGTTCACCAAGTCTCCATAACAGGAATTCACTGACCATCTTGTGAAGACCCACACCAGTCTCCATGCAGAGGACTCAGGCTCCAGCTGCGGCCACCACCTAGTTTTATATAAGAAAAATAAAGTGAACTAAAGCTTGTTAAAAATAAATAAATAAATGAAAAAAAATAAAGGCCCCCTCCTTGATTGGCAGGTCCAAGGGTTTGGAATGGTACTCCCTGTGCACCTCTTCTCTTTTGCGCCTTTGTAGCTGCAGGAAGTCCCCATTTACCCACATATAAAGTCTGGAATCTGTTCCCCTTTGCACCAGTTAGGTTTCCTTGAACTCAATTGGATGCATATTCATCTCCATCCATTTACGGTGCATTTATTATGTAAGCCTCACACTTAAACTTATTTTAGAAAATTTCAACATTCTAAAAGTTGTTTATTAGTCATGGACATGAATACTAACTACAGTCTCTGAGTAACAGTGGAATAACCCAATACTAGTTTACTTCTCACTTACTTAAGATCCCCATGTGGGTGAGGTGGCATCTTTCTTCCAACTTGTAACTCAGGGACCTAGGCTGACCTCTTCTTGTAGCTATGTCATTTAGGACTTGACTTCCAAGTTTGATGGTGGAAAGGAAAGAGAGGATGTGTGGGGAAAGCATACCCATTCTTAATTACCTCAGCCTGGAAATGACACTTGTGACTTCCGGTCACATTCTGTTGGCTAGAAATCAATCCCATAGCACTGTGTACCTCCAGAGGACTCTGGGAAATGTAGTATTTCCTTTTTTTTTTTTCCAGGAAAATGAAAGTAAAACAAGCTACTTGATGTCTAAGTAGCTTTTTCTCTGTCACAGGTTTTGAAGGGCAACTCCTCTCTTTGCTGGACAAGAGAACTTCCAGACTAGTATGCCCCATACTCAAAGGACAAGGAAAATAGAAAACACTATTTAATCAGGTACAAAAACTAAGATGAATACCATAGGCCAATATTTGGATTTTGCTCTATGGAGCTAGTTCAAGGACAAAGTTCTCTTTGAGGTCAGGGAGAATTACATTTTGTGAAATTGAAACCAGGTATCTGGAGGAAGATGGGGATGTAAGGAGCCAAAGCATATCCCCTTATTGTAGAAAGAGCCATATCAGTGTGAAAAGCCCTAAATCCATCTATTACAGATTTCCATAGTCTTTTTATTACCAGAGTTGTTTCCAGTGACTTGGAACTTGGGAAGGTTTAGCCAACAAGCTATGGTGATATTCCAAAGTCCAGGAATTAATCACGTCTTTTCTGGCCTTTACTTTTGGTCCTAATACATACTATCAGCACTCTCCCTTCCTTCTCCGTCTTGGTTAGCATTTTATTTGTATCTTTAATGATTTAACAGATGTCAAACTTTGTTACGGATTTGACAAGGGCTGACATTGCTCAAACGTCTTTGCCCAGGTCTGGCCCATTTATGAGGGGATAACAGACCACTGATGTCATTTTCATGTGCTTTGATGGAAGTTTTAGTGTCCCAACTCCCCTGTGGAAGGAGTTTTACACTTCTAAAGTGGTTGCAGCCTTCTTGTTAAGTTCTTTCCCCAACACGCTTTTTTGCATTTTACCTTCTCAATGAACAGTTTTTGTAATACCATTTTAGGATATTTGGTTCAACACCAGTCAGATCAAATTTTCCAGATGAGATGTATAGTTAAGAGGAGAAAACTTGAAATCTTCAGCTTCTAGGGGAGATGATGGACATTGTACATTGATCTGTATTTCCACTCTTCAAAGAGATTAGAAAAAAAAAACCTTTGTGTTGTCTGTTCTTAGAACAGTTGCATTTATTGTTTAAAACAGTCTGACATATTATTCTCATTCCTGAACTTATACATGAGCAGGTCTTAGAAGTTCTGCCAGAACCTTAGAAACTGCTTGATTGGTTAGTATTCACCGGCCATATTTAAAGCACCCAAGGAAGGTCTAGCCAAAGAGAGGAACTAAATGGAGATCCATTGAATGCCAGAGACAAGTTGTGAACTATGCTGACCACGGAGAAGACCTGGCCTTCACCTTCAAGAGTTTATAGCCATATGAACCGTGTGAAAAATAAAAAATAAATTAACTGCATTAAAAGGGCAGGAAAAGCATGGTCTGAGGCGAACTAATGGAAATACCTAAAGGAAACATAGGTAAAAGTAGTTGGCTGATACTCTTTTAGGTGGAAGTATAAAAAATGTCCAAGTAGGAGTCAGGGCCAAGTAAAGGAGTAAGAGTTGAGAGGCTGTTTCTAGTGCAGTTCCTTTCACTACTGCTTGTGTGACTTTGGGGGAAGTTCTTTAACTTTTATAAGCCTCCTTTACCTCAACTGAAAAACAGAGCACTGCGGATCCTGGCAAATATGTTACCTGATTGTGTGGATCCGATGACACAGCATCTTTGAGAGTGCTTTAAAATGGTGAGGTGCTCCATCGAGGTAAAGGCAGAAAGAGAAGCCTTAGGTCTGCACTCTCAACTCTCTCTTCTTCATCTGTCCCCCGCCCCCTCCTCTACACGCAAGCTACCAGGACTCTTTTATTGCAGTGCAGGAAAAAACACTTTTGGGTGGAGGTGGCTATTCGGTATGCTATTTGGCACCACAAGTAAATGTAAAAAGAGTAATTTGGATGAAGACCTTTTTTTTCCTAAAAATTTGCTTCCAGCTGCTGAAATCATTTACTATGTGAATGGAAACATAATTTAACTACAGTAGGTTGTGGCACTTGGTGGAGACACTAGATCATTTCTCTGAAAATCAATTTGCCAAATTACCAATTGCAGGAAACCAGCAAGCATATATCTTTTACCCAGTGGAGGAGAGTTTGTAAAGAGACTTTTTACCAGCAGAGGTAGAGGCAGGGGCAGGGCATACACCTGCAGAAATAGAAAAGGCTATAAAATGTGTTTAAAAGGAAGCTCATCCACTCACATCTTCATGTTGAGTCTTGGAGAATTGCTTCAGCATCTGAAATGTGACTCACATAGGAAACTGATAAGTGAGCTCCTCTATCAAATCATCCATGGAAACTACTGGTGTGAACAATCACCAAAACTAAACTTTCAAAAAAATTCAGCAGTAACTCAGTGAATTCAACAACTTGGTCAGATTAGTAGAGGGTGACCATTGACTTAAAAGAGAGTGGCAGGGCGCCTGGGTGGCTCAGTCAGTTAAGCGTCTTCCTTCAGCTCAGGTCATGATCCCAGGGTCCTGGGATCCAGCCCCACGTAGGGGTCTCTCCCTCTCCCTCTGCCTGCAGCTCCCCCTGCTTGTGTTCTCTCTCTCTCTGTCAAATAAATAAGTAAAATCTTAAAAAAAATAAAAAATAAATAAAAGAGAGTGGGTTGTGTCTGCACTGCTTTCCCCATTGTGTGTGTGTCTTGAGGAAGAAAGAGCACTGCAATGGTGCTTTTAGGCAATGGGAATCTTCAAAGTGGGGTGAGAGTTAAGATCACGATTTTCTATAGTTTATGTGGTTTGGAGCAGGATCCAGAATGGTTTTGAGGATAGGACAAGAATGGAGACAAATGGTGGGTGTGAGATGGCCACAGAACCCAAGTATATAGGTCCCGTCCCACGAATACTGGAGTCCAGACACAGAGAAGCCAGTCAGGTTTCAGAAGCACACACAGTGGCTTTAGAGCTCTGATGGGAAATGGCTCTGGAGCTCCCCGGGTGGTCAGAAATGTGGGTGGATGGCATGAGTGCCAGTGTCTGAGAGCAGTGCAGGACCAAGGCAGCTAATGCTGGATCAGAAACCAGGAACCCCACCTTCTGGCCCTAGTGCTTCCTTTAAATTGATGGAGCCCAGTGCCTCTCAAATTCTCTACGAAGGACTTTTTTTTTTTTTTTTCCATTTCCAACCCACTGACCCATGGTCTCGGTATAATGACATACACTCAGCTTGTGCCACATGTGACTTACCAAATAAATTAGGTGACACTTGAACTGGTGTACACTCAATTCAGTGAGATGACTCTATTGATCATGGGCTTGCATGTCTCAGAAATGTCAAAGTGTTGTAAATCTTAAAGTGTTTGTTCTCAATTTTGATCTTCTCTCATTTTGAACTAATAACAAAGAATTTAGGGACTGTCACTGGAATAGGTGTTTTCAAAGTTGTTTTCTACTTTGACATTTTACTGATACAGACATGGGAGGTTGACTCATCTTTCAAATACTGTGATGCTTCCTTTATGGGTCATGGTTAGAGGATGAGATTGTGAAAGTGCATATTGGGGAATGCTTCAGAAAAAAAGAAGCTAAAAAATGCTGGTTAAGAAGATACTGGTTGTCATGAGAGATGATGGACTCTGAAAAACAAACTGAGGGTTCTAGAGGGGAGGGGGGTAGGGGGATGGGTTAGCCTGGTGATGGGTATTGAGGAGGGCACGTTCTGCGTGGAGCACTGGGTGTTATGAACAAACAATGAATCATGGAACACTGCATCAAAAACTAATGATGTACTGTATGGTGACTAACATAACAATAAAAAAATTAAAAAAAAAAAAGAAGATACTGGTTGTCTTGCAGCCTCCATTTCTCTTTCTCCTTTAGTAGTAGAACCACAGTCTCTAGCTGTGAAAGAGAAAAAGCATTTCCCAGCCTCCTTGCCACCGGGAGTGGTCATTTGTTGAGTTCTGGGCAGTAGCATATAAGCAGAGATGGTGTGACATCTTCTGGGAAGCCTGAAAGGGAAAGAACCGGAATGGGGACATAATTGCTAGGGCTCCACCATTACTATCTTTAGCTGCCTTAGAATTGGAAGCCCTGAAATGCGCAGGGACAAGACAGATAAAATCTCTGTCCCTTTCACCGTGGACTCAATGTGCCACACTAGGCTGCAAGATCAGAACGGGTATGTAGGAAAGAAATAAGATTCTGTACCTTTTTAAAAAAGGTTTTATTATTTATTTTTTAAGACTTTATTTATTTGCGAGAGAGAGAGAGCATGAGCAGGGGGAGGGGCAGAGAGAGAGGGACAAGCAGACTCCCCACTGAGTGTGGA